AAATAAAAAAATAATGTAAAAAATGCAAATAATTTTAAATTATAAAAAAATAAAATGTAAATAAATAACACAATCTAATAAAGTATGCTCAGGATCTCCAGATCAGATGTGCGTTTACTTAAAGATCTGTATAAGTAAGATTGAAAGATGACTTGCAACCACGTTTATTTATTATGGCCGTTTAGGATTGAAGTCTCACATAGCCAAAACGTCAGAGATATGTTTTATTAGAAATTGTCTTATCATTTAATAATTTATTGTTTTAGACGTCTAAATTTAATATTTCTAGACGTTATTTTAGACGTAGACCCCTTCGACGTCTAATAGATGTCTATCCAATCTCGCGTTTCTGCCATATGAGTGGATGGAAATACATATAGAAAAGCGTGTATGTGTGTGTGTATGAGGAACATGTACAAAGCTTTGTCTTTCTGACGTCTTCGCTAGTGTTAAATAACACCAATGTTCATGAGCATAACTCTGCGAAAAAAAATCGTAGAAAGCTCAACTTATATCTCGCTTTTTCTCGTCTCGAAAAGCCCTTTCAAACAAGCCCTCACTCGACCCCACATGCCATTTAAGATTTGCAACCTCCCCGCCCCCCTCGAAGAGTTGAAGTTGGTGTTTTCAATGTTAAATGAAAGATTACGTTTTGCCATTATAACTTATAACCTTATAAATTTCAATATATCGAACCATTTACAAATTATTCAGGTGGCCTGTTTTAAGCGCCTCACCCTATATAATCAGAAATTAATATCACTATTTTTGTATTAACAAGCAATTAAATAAATGAATGAAATAATTTTTTTATACAAGGTATGTTACGCAATTGAAAGTTTTCTGTTCCATTTAAGATAGAAAGAAGAACATAAACAAAAATTGAATGATATAACAATGTCATTTTTCCATTGATTCATTTTTTTCGAAAGTGCAACGATTCATCGAAAAAGTGCAATTATATATTTTTCTTATAATAAAAGCATTTTTTCACATGAATAGATTTTTTTACATATATACATTCTAGGTACAAAAATATTAAATTAAAAAGATAAAATATTTGTACAATATTAAAGATAAAATGCTTAAAAAAAATTTCACGAGATACTTATACTTTATTCTTGATATAAAATACAAAATATCTCGTTAACTATTCATTTTTTTTACTGTATTTTAATGTAATTTTGATATAACGAAAAAAATGAATAGAAAAGTGATATTACTTATATACTATTCAATGCCTGTACCATTTCTTTTTATCTTCAACAGAACAGGTACTAGAAGATATTCTAATTATGTACATGAAATATTCTGGAACACAGAATAGAGAACTGTGATCTATGCAGCCGCCACTGATGATTAAGAGTAATTTATTGTGCGTGATGATTTCTCTCTACGGTTTCTTGGGGTCATCGTAAGTGACCTGCGTTTTTCTTATCTCGATGGCAGTGCATTCAATTAGACGCAGGAAAGAAGAACACTGTAGCCTACAGAGAAATAATAGTATCTTTATTCGTTATCATCACGGCATAAGTTCATTGATTTCCTATTATCTTTTCGATCAGATTTTATCAGCCTATCATCGAAGGGACTTCTTCAACTTGAGCCGAGTGAAACAACATTGCAGAGTACAGATTAACAGTTCCCAGACAAACAACGCTAATAAGACAATGAAACTGCCTGTTCTTTTGACATTCTTGTATTGCTTTTGCATCGACATTAGCCACACCAGGGAAATAACGTATGTATCCGATTAATTTATAACTTAACACTTTGAACATGCACTCCTTTCTGATGAAAAAAATGCTCATAATATTTTCAAGAATGTTTCATATATATATATATATATATATATATATGAAACATATACATATTTCATTGTATAAATTTATAAAGATAAAAAAAAATATCTTAAACTAGATTTTATAAGTTTTCTTTGAAAATGGTAGAATGAGAAATCTTTTTGAAGTAAGAATTAATATTTCAAAACTCATGTATATAAAGATGTATATAACTCATGTATATAAATTCTAGAAAATATGTAAATTTTCTCAACGTTTTTGAAAAGTGTTTCAATGCATATAAAAAAATCTGCAAAATTTTTCAAAAAGTTATAAAATTATATAGAAATTGAGAATAATTCTAAAACATATGTAAAATTCTGTCATTTTTCATATGAAAAATTATGTGAAAAATTAAAAAAATTTATTATAGTTTTCTTCAAATAAAATCTAATTTTCAACCGTATTTGATGAGATATTTATTTTATTCTGTAAATGATTCTTACAGTCACGAAGATATTAAAGATGCTATGTTGAGCTTAGTACATATGATGCGAGAAAATACAGAGAAGCTGGAGAGGCACGAGGCGAGAGAACGGCAGCTGGGCGAACAACTGAAAAAGACAATAAGCATTCTGACAAAGCGTGTGTCCGTTCTAGATGGTCTAAAGCTGCAGTTGACCAAGTTGGAGGAGAGGATCTCAGGAATAGAACATCTGATCGCGCAGGTGATCAGTTTTTGTTCAATAAAACGTAAGCAATTAATTCTTAGAGAGTTGATGATATTTCTCCATGTAGAAGGACGAGAGAGAGCGTATACAGATGCAAAAGACCGTGGATAGTTTGGAAGACTTGGAAAGTCGCTTGGAGGGCTGGCTCACAAATATCGAAAGCAAAGTAGTGGAGATAAACAATCGCGCGAAAGTTACATCTACTCCGGACAATCTTTCTGACATTCTCAGCAAGCTAAGTGGCATAGAGAGTAACTTGATGGGAGAAGTTGCAAGATTCAAAGACGGTCTGCATAATAATGTAGCAAAGATGAATAAAGAATCAGTTACGCTGCTGGAGAAGACACATACGATCTTCTCGGAGGTGACTTAATTTATAATTAAAAAGTATATTATATATATAAATATATACATGTATATCCTCGTGTTAAATATTTTAAATATAAATCTATTTTGAACTGTAGATGCAGCATGTAACCACCAAGATCGGAGACCTCGAAAAATCTTTAGAAGAGATAAAACGGATGACACAGATTGTTCAAGAAAGGCCATCAGAGCGACAATTGGATTTGTCTCCAGCTTTTGATGATCATGTCAGGACATTAGTGCAAGTGCAAGAGCTGTTAGAAGGTACTTCTGACAGATTACGGGAATTACCTAGGTAACATATTTTGTACTTGATTTTCTTAATATCAGTTTCGACGTTCTCCGCAAGAATAGGAGAACATGTAACATCCTTAACACTTCGATACTAATTGCCACTTCACAATGTAGGATAAACGAAGTGCAAGCACTCCACAACGAGACGCAAGCTATGTTGCAGGAAACTAAGCATGCGTTGAAGGATATCGTTACACGGGGTATTGATAATATCGAGGATAGGATAACGGAGGGCAAAGAAGAAACGAAGGATTCGGTGGCGACGTTACGGTAAATTCTGATTATCATTCGGTGGAATAATAAACACTAAACATAATGATTATCTTTTCTCTTTTTTTTTTATTGGATAACAAATTATGTTAAATGAATAAGGATTGGAGTCGAAAAATCATTTAGCGTAGAATATCCTAGAATCTAGATGTACTATGCCATGTATTGCATAAACCTTCCTTTTAAGTCTTGAGCTTCTTTAACAGGATGGATCTGGCTAACAATGCAGAACGTGTGAATCAGGAACTACAGAATTTGGAAAAGGGTCAGTCCGTGATGGTTTCTATGGCCGATCATGTACTGGACACGAAGAAAAGAGTGGAGTACGGTGTACATCAGATCCTACTGGAAGTGGGCGATTTGGTGAAAACCCAGGGAATTAACATTAACAGCACTCTTAGTCAAAGATTCGACGGAATCTCGATTGATATCATGGATAACCAAAACGGCGCCTTGGCAAATCTTACCAATAAAATGGAACAGGAGATGAACAAAGTAAAGATCTGTTACTTGCTGACTGATTTAGTCACTGTCAAGATTTGTTGTTATATACCTTTATTGCAGGTTTGGCGACAGATCAATGTAATGTACCAACAGATGACGGAAAGCGCTCGAGCTCTAGATAAGTTACATCAACAGAACGAAGCCTATGTTAATGGGACGACTTCTACTATGGGTGGAATGGAGAACAAGGTAATATAAGATACATTTAGACTAAAATAATAAGAATTAATATAATCTTGTAAATAAATTAGATGATCAGTGAAATCAGTTTATTATCATCTCATTCCTCATATAGCACAGTCCATCAAGGAACTCTCCTATAACTATCCTAAAGATATTTAGAAAACGTTTCCAGGACATTCTTCGGATAAAGTGCTATGTAGACACTATTTGATACGCATTCAAGTAATGACTTGAATGCGTACCAAATACTAGCTCAGTATCTATTTTTGTGGTAAATTTAACAGCTAAATATATTTGCAATTTGGTATTCATTCTGAATAACGTCCAATATATATTATTTTCTGAATTCATTCACTTAAATACTTTTCAAAAATCAGCAAAACTAATTGATTAAATATCCGAAATTCTGCAGGTAGGCGAGATAACAAAACGCATGACGGAGGTGGATGAAAACTTGAACTACTTGCTCGGCCGCCTATCTTTGGTAACGCAAGAATTCAATCAGATTAAGACAGGTTTGGGAAATGCACTGGACAACATCAAAGCTTCTTTCAAGATAGTTCAGGAAAAAGCGTTGGATCTGACTCATCCGGGTCCCCATCCACTTCCGGAAAACTATAAGAATCCGAATGAATCTGAGACCAGGAAGCCAGACGGTAAGCATCCGCCCGACTTCACGAGTCGCATCGCCAATGTACCCTCCAATTGACCTCAATCAGCAAATTTTCAAAGTATTCTGATTAATTGCATTTATTTACTGGGACTCTATATAAAATTTCGTAAGCACTGAAAGTTCTCTCTTGTAATTTCTTTTTTTTTATAATCCTCCAATGATCCAAACTCAAATTTAAATATTTTGTCTCAGTTGTTCACTGTGTTAATTTCTTTACTGCGTAAACTGTTTGTTTTAGTTGTGTCCATAAAGTAAGCCATTTGACTCTCAGATCATCAGGCTGGCTTGGATTAAATCTCAGTCAGCGGAAGATAGGCATCTTCATCCTTAGCGAATTAACATCCGGTACTGCATCTCATCATCTCATCATCATTTAATTATCAGATTGTTATACCCTTTGGTAAACTTTCGAATATACCTATATTCTTAATCTTTTACCTACCTCGAAAAAATAATTCTAAAAAAGTCAGTAAATAACACGAAACTATATATAACAAAATAATATTCATTATTCATTAAAGTATAATGTTACATATGTATAAGAATGTAATCAGCTTATAAATAATCAGATTGAATGTAACGTAAATTGCAGATGTAAATGTACATCTGTAAAGAAGATACAGAAGATTCATATAGATGCTTGTTTCGTCATTTAAGATGATTTTAAAATTATAAAATATTATATGATTTATATTATTTGATTATAAAATATAATTTCTATAAAGAATAGTTTATATATAACATCCGCGATTTAATTTTTAGTTTTAGATGGACAAACGTAATTTCTAATAATTTACTCATTTAATCTCTGCGCGACAAAGAAGGAAGGATACTACTAATATAATACCATAGATTTGATTGGAATGCTATATTTCTATTGCCACTACTTATAAAGAATAAACAAATCACTACAAAATAAAAAAATCCGAAAAAGAAATGTATATAAAAAAAGTAAATTTCGCTATGAGAATTATATAAAATTATTATCATCGTTTTATCATTTTAATCTAATTATATTTAACAAGAAATGCGCAAAAACAAAGGTAATCATTTCCTGTTTTTGCTAAATATAATCTCGCTTATGACAGATCAAATCATATTACAATTTTTAGAAATTTGCAGTTAAAGTTGTAAAAAAGGCAATTTTAATATATTTTGACTTTTAACGGCTGGAGTTTGATGCCTAATAAATTCTATACGAATTTTTAAATCCATTATTCAACCATTTGCAACACAATCATTAGCTAAAGCTGGTATATAGCAAGAACACAATTGATCTTCAATTCTTAATATCGATACTTATAAGCATTTAAAGTATTGCATTGAAAGCCCGACATTGTTTCGGCACGCACTTTAAATGGTTGGATAATAGATTTAAAAATTCATATAAAATTCACTAGGCACCAATAGTCCGGGAGGCAGCTGGCTTTTTTTTCACTCATTTCACCAAACATACTTTATGAATTTTTTCGTTATATTGAAGTAGAGTAGACGATTGCTAAAATGACGGTCTGGCAGGGGCATTGCGGGACAGGGCAAGACGGTACGC